CACGGATAAATAGCTAAAGGATTTCATCACTACCAAACCAGTATTATATGAAATGCTGAAAGGTATTCTTTAACAAGAGGAAGAAAAAAGTAAAGATAAAAATTATGAACAACAAATACATATCTATCAAATGAACCTAAAAATAAAGTGAATTAAAAATCTGAGGAACAGAATAAACTGGTGAATATAATACAATCAGGGGCATAGAAAGGGAGTGGACTGATAATTCTCAGGGGGAAAGGGGAGTGGGGGTTCGGGAAGAGACTGGACAGAAATCGTACACCTATGGATGAGGACAATGGGAGGGAGGAAAGAGCAGAGGGTGGAATGGGAACCAGGTGGAGGGGAGAAATGGGAGTAAAAAGAAGAAACAATTATAATCATCTGAACAATAAAGATTCATTAAATTAAAAATAAATAAAGAAATAATAAAATATCTTCATAACCTGAAAAAATTCAGTCACAAAATACAGTCAAACATCAATTCTCGAACATCTGCCATCTCAAACAATTTGCTTCTCAACCTGACAACCCTTTCATGCTGATAGCTATATGATCAGACACAAGGCTCTCAGGCAACAAACAAGGAGAGAATGTGTGAATATGAGTCAGTTAACCCAAGTTAAAATCTCAAGATATTGTGTTCGAAATATTTTCTTTTTTGTTTTTGTTGCTGTTATTAAACTTTCATTTTTTATTGTACATTTCCTTGCCTTTTTGTTTAATTTTCATTTATATTTCAAGTCCTTTTTGTTTTTAAAGTGTTTATTTATAGATTCGTCAGTACATTATACTTGTACTACCTATATATAAAAGGCTAAGCTATAGATCTATTGTCTGACCATGTGGTACCTATGACATGCACTGACCATCAGGGGGCAGACACTCAACCCAGGAGCTGCAGAACTGCTGTGACTTGGCAGCAGCAGTTGTCATTCTCGGGTGACGCTCCCTGAAACCAAAGAAGAGGAAGCCAATTTCTCAAGGGCCACACTGGGACATTGTCGGCCCCAAATCTGGTTTACTGCACTCTTGCATTTGCATTCCAAATGCTGTACACAGCAACTATGCAGAGTGCCCTCTCACACTAGGGACCCCTCGGGGGATACTGGAGAGCCGATTTCTGCCAATCCCCACAGGCCAGGCCAAGGGACCCCACCTGCTGGAGGGATTCCCACCCCCCCCCCCACACACACACACACACACACACACTCCAAAGATGCCCTTCAAGCCATGGAGGAGGGACTGTGGGGATTTGGCTCCAGGGTGTTGTCCGCCCCACCTGTCACTTTCTGATTAATTTCCTTTCAATGTGCATGAACCCATGCATCAGGTCACTGGTATACATATGAAAGGTTAAAACAGGGAATCATTTGGGGGTCTGAAAAGGATTAGTTCAATTTACATTGTTTCTAATGGGAAAAAATGATTCAATTTTTGAACAGCCTTCTGAAGTTCCACTGTAATTCAATAAAATTTTCATTGAACAAACTTACTGTGCTGCAGGCACTGGACTAGATACCAAAGTGAGTAGGATATGTTCTCCAGGGGCTTATTTTTCTCAGGGAGGAAGGCAGGCAAACAACCAAACATGTAAACAACAAACAATAAAAACACAAAACAATCACTGCTACGTGGGAAATTTAACTAGTAAAAGTGGTTATCTTTTTTTTTTTTTTTTTTTAATTTAATGAATCTTTATTGTTCAGATGATTACAATTGTTTCTCCTTTTTACTCCCATTGCTCCCCTCCACCTGGTTCCCATTCCACCCTCTGCTCTTTCCTCTCTCCCATTGTCCTCATCCATAGGTGTACGATTTCTGTCCAGTCTCTTCCTGAACCCCCACTCTCCTTTCCCCCTGAGAATTATCAGTCCATTCCCTTTCTATGCCCCTGATTGTATTATATTCACTAGTTTATTCTGTTCCTCAGATTTTTAATTCACTTTATTTTTAGGTTCATTTGTTGATAGATATGTATTTGTTGTTCATAATTTTTATCTTTACTTTTTTTCTTCTTCCTCTTGTTAAAGAATACTTTTTAGCATTTCATATAATACTGGTTTGGTAGTGATGAACTCCTTTAGCTTTTTCTTATCTGTGAAACTCTTTATCTGACCTTCCATTCTGATGAGCTTTGCTGGATAGAATAATCTTAGTTGTAGGTTCTTGCTATTCATCACTGAATATTTCTTGCCACTCTTGTCTGGCCTGCATACTTTCTTTTTTTTTTTTTTTAATTGATTATGGTATCACATAATTGTCCTTATCCTCCCATTTCCATCCCAACTCCCTCCCTACATATGCCCCCACCCCCCTGACGTCCATGGCCACTGGCTAGGCCCATATGCCTGCACACAAGTCCTTTGGTTGATCTCTTCCCCTTACCCCCCACCTTCCCCTACTTTCCCTCTGAGGTTTGAGAGTCTGATCACTGCTTCTCTTTCTCTGGGTCTGTTTTTGTTCATCAGTTTATGTTGTTCATTATTTCCTCTAGATGTGTGAAGTGGTTATCTTTTTAAGCTGAGATCTGAATGACAAGAAGACAGCATGTATCATCATAAAAGCCCTGTGGTGCAAGAGTGACACATTTTCAAGAATGCCAAAATTCTACTCTTTGGAGGTATTTTTTTTTTCTACTATTTTAGTTGCATGTTAAGTATTAAATTAAATAACAAAATGTAGGTCTATGATGGCCAAGGAAAGGATAATTATCAACGTAATATTACTGCTTTGCATATTGAGTAAACACACCAGATAACATACGTGGCACTTCAAAAAACAAGCATTAGCCAGGGAAGAGAGACATATGCTTCTGGTTCCATCAGACACATTCACAAGTATCCATTTAACTCTTAAATTTGCTAAACAGTTTTTGAGAAACTATACCTAGATCAAAGATTCCCTGCAGCTTTCAAGTCAAAGTCTCAGGTACTAAAAACTCAAGACTTGATTGCAAACAAGGCCTGTTGCAACTCCTGATTATATAAAAAAAATAAATATATACACACAATATTTTTCTCCAAAGCAGGGTAAAAGGAAAGTGAGCAGGAGGAAGTCAGGGAGATTGAATGCATAGAAAGGCACACAGGATAGAGATTAAATGTCCAGAAATACAGAATTATTAGTTGTGTTTCAACCCCAAATCAACCTCTTAATGTTATCTTGTTGAACTCAGCTAAGCAATAGACACTGAAGAGGGTTTTCCCTTATTTCAGGTCTGGAGCTATTAACAAAAATTAAATTTTAAAAATTTCACTCTTCATTAAGCCTCTGTCTTCATTAACACAAAGATCTTAAAAGTAAAATAGAAAAAGAGGGTCAGAAATGTTTAAGTCAGTTGTACAGCGAAGAAATAGTATCATGACACCTTTCAATAAAATAGGACTCTAAAAAACTCAATCTGAGTCTATTAAAAGCCTGTCACATCTGCCAGTGGCAGAGCAAGGAGCTGGACAGACAAGCTGTGGCTCTCTCTCCTCACTGAAGCAGGCAGGGATCTAGTTCTGTCGGCTCTTCTTTCATCCTGAAATCTGAAAGGGCTTTCATATCTAGCAAGTCATTATTTCCATAGACAGATAAGCTAATGTCAGTAAGTTCCCCACCTTTAGAGGGGAGGAAATACCTCTCTTGCTAATTTAAACCCAAATGCCACCTTGCAATTATTCTAGTTGTAAAATATTTTGTACATTTTGATGAAAGAAGTTATTGATAAAGAGTAAGGTTAAGAGCCTAGAACCTGACAATAAGGAATTAATAGGTAGATGTGATATGGGGCAAGTTTTGTAACATGACCAAAGCTCAAGTCCTTTATCTATAAATTGGAAGGACAAGAAAGAGCAGATCCAGACTTTACTGAGAACTGAAATTTAAATAACCCACACTAGGCTCTCAGAGTCTGCATTAAATTAACATTAATAAATGCATTCTTGTAAGCTAAGCTGTAGTTATCAAGCAGGAAATTCTGTTCCCCAGGGGACATTTGGCAATGACTGGAGACATTTTTCGTTGTCACATCTGCACAAGTCAGGGATGCTAAACATCCTACAAGGAACGGGACAGCTCTGCACTTAACATATTCAATAACAATGTTTCAAGTTGAAATCTTCCTCTCGGCCAATATGCCACTCAATGGCAACACAGACATAAATCAAAGTCCCAAGAGATCCACTTGTGCGGGAGCCCAAAACTACTCCTGAAATTTAAAGCGAAGTTTGTATCTGTGGTCACTCTCATCTTCCCTGCTCATTATGCATGAGCCTGCTCAGGCCTCTCCTAGTTCCAGGAAGACACCAGGCTTGTCCAGCTTCGGGGCCTTCGCACTTCTGGTTCTCACTCTCCTTGGGACACTCTTTCCCCCAGATCGTCCCATGCTGGCCTCTTCCCCTTCTTGTGTAAGCTTCCTATGTGGCTTCCTTAGGAAAGCCTTTCTGCCCCACCCTCCCTGCTTCCATTCTCCGTACAGCACTGACAGAAAACCTTTAAAAATTAAGTTAACGTGTTTACTGCCAGTCCCACCCACTGAAGTAGAAGCTTTTATCTTCATCGCTCACCTGGACGAGTGCGCCCCAAGAGGTGCGAATAAATAATCATTGGATCAATGACTGCATGAATTTTGAAAGGGGTCTGGGGACTCTCCAATGGCTGTGAATTATCACATTCGAAGCATAAAAGACACAACATACGTGATAGGTGAGGGTCCTACGGCTCAGGCAGAAGTGACAGGTGCATCCCCCGAGAAACCCCAACTGAGCACCTCAGAACCTGGCCCACCTCCGTCGGTACAAAATGGGGTTAAGGGGCGCCGAGCTGCACCCGAAAACCTCGCCAAATGGCTGGATGGCCGGCCAGAGCGACGGGAAAGTGGCCGGCAAAGCCGCAAGGGAACTCAGTTTCCAACTTGACACCGCGGAAGCCGCTCCCACCCACAACCTGGCCACGCGCCGCCCGCCCCGCCGAGGAGGCGCCGGGCCGGTGTCCCGGGGTGCAGGCCGCCTCACCTGCAGGTGAACTTGAAGGCGAGGAGCAGCACGCAGCCGAGCACCAAGGCCGCGCCGAGCAGCTCCGGGCGCCGGCGCGCCATGAGGAAGGCCCCGCGCAGTCCGCGACGGAACCGGTCCGCCGAGGACGCTCCGGCCGGGGCCGGGCAGAGGGAGCCGGAGCCCGCTGAGCCGGCGCCGCCACCCTCCTCCTCGGCGTCGTCGCTGCTGCTGCCGCCGCTGCTGCTGCTGCCGCTGCCGCCGCCGCCGCCGCCGCGGCCTCCGCATTCCGACATTACATGCTCTCCGTCGCCAGCTTTATACCGCCGCCGCCGCCGAGGGCCCAAGGGCCCGGCCCGGCTCGTCGTGCCCCAATCCCGCAACTCGTAGTGCCCGCTAACCGTGACACTCCACGTCAGCCCAGCCGCCGCCGCGGCTCCCGCCCCAGAGCAGGCGGCCCCGCCCTACGCCCTCGGAGTCTGCGCGGACGCGGACACCGCCCCGTAGCCCCGCCCCCGGAAGGCCTCGCCCCCTCGACCTTGGCACCGGCGCCGCCTCCCGGCTCCGCCCACACGTTCTGAAGCCCCGCCTTTACCCTGCGGGCCCCGCCCTCCGCCCACAGAGCATGCGCAGGCACTAGGCCGAGCGCCGGGCCCCTCCCGCCCCGAGGTCCGCCGGGTGTCCACAAACGGAAACGCCGTACCCGGAGCGTCTCCGCCTGGCGCACCGCAGCCGTGAGGGTAACAGAACACGTAACCACCCGTCTCACTACATCCCCGGAGGAAGTAGGTGCCCTCTGTGAGCTCCGCTTCACGTAGGGAAACACGTGCGGAGGCGAGAAGTGTCCGAGAACGCGGGAGTGAGGCGGGAACCACCCGTCCCTCGGCACCGGTCTGCACGCCTGTAAAATGGGGTAATAGCAGTAACTCGCTCTCAGGGCTGTTTTGAGAATTAAATGAGGCAACTCACGGAAATGCCTGTCAAGCTACCCGTCATTAAGGGAAGGTTGCTCTAGGGATTACTGTATACACTTTTTTCAGAATTTCCGGAATGATTACTTCAGATTTATAAATTTAGTGATATAGAAATTGCTCCAATGTAGCTCCATTCCCTCCTCTCTTTTGTTACTATGACTCTTTTTTTAATCTGTTATGTTGCAAGCCCAATAAAACAGTGTTATATTGTTTTATATAATCTTGTTTAAAGAAGAGGATATGAGAACAAATATGTTATACCTTAATAAAGAAATTTTTTTAAAAAGAAGTTAAGAGGAAATATATATTTGTAGTTTTTAAACTTATATTAACCTTCTTACTTGCCATTTCTAGTTCTCTTTTCTTTATGTAGATGTGAGTTACATTGCTAATGAAGACAAATATGGTAAGAAGTCACCAGTTCCCATTCACAGTAGGTTGCTATTACAATCTACCCTTCACTTCCATAAGACATCTGTTCTTTGCACAGGCTTTTTATAAGGTTCAAAGTACTTACGCTGCCTGTAGGTTAATCTCCTGAGACCCACAAAGCTTGTAGGCCAGGAAACCACCCTACACTAATAAAAGTATGGTCCTCTCCTCTCTCTTTTTAGACATCTGGCTGCTGCTCTGGCACTAGAATATTCTGAAACAATGATAAATGCAGAATACAGCAGGTTGTCAGGGTCAGACTATACCGCTCTTCAAGGCTAGGTTAGCCTTAACTTGTCCAGAAGATGAGCTTTTGTAAACACTTTTTATACCCTGACCCAGTGGTAGAGTTAGCACAGGAGGCAAGAAGAATATTTGGGTTTTTATACATATTTTTAAAAACACACTTTGAAGCTGTTAGCAGAGAGCCCTCAACATTCATTTCCACTTAGTTCCAAAGTCCCAGGGACCTGCATCAGTTGAGAAACTGAAGAATACATTTCCCAGGCAGTTAGTAACAGGTTTCAACATATCCCACATATTAATCCTTTCTTAGAACCAGAGAGAAATAAGGTTCGTTATTTTTTAAAAGCTCCTAAGCATTGACTTAACCAACGGGGATGTAAAAACAAGGTACAGGTTGGCAGATAATAAAGAGGGAAGCCCATACTCCATAAGCCTGGGTATTCTGGACAATGGTATTCTCTCCAATGTTTCTTGGAGTCTTTTGTATCAAAACCCCAAAATTAGCTTTCCAGAAATTGGCATTTATCCTTTGTAGAAGTCAACTAAAGTGTGTTTGAAACCTGCACTACCTGGGGGAGTGTTCTCCTTTCATTTCCCAATTGATGCAGGTCCCTGGAACTAAGGGGAGACAACGTGGAGGACTCTGCAAACAGTCGTCAAAGAGCAGACAGCCCAGGGAAGGTGAGGGTGGTGGGAAAAGGCAAGCACCTCCAGCACCAGCCTGCCTGCCCTGCGTGCCTCCGTCACAGAAGGGAGGACTGGGCACAGGAAGGAGTCCCTGAGAGCAAGGACCCACTTGCAACCTCCCATAACCTTCCTAGGGCAGCTTATTGCAGCCAACAAAACTTGTACATGAATATTCATATTCACAAGAGCCCAAAACAGGGAAACAACTCAAATGTCTATCAACAGAGGAATGGATAAAATGTGAATGAGTAAAATGGAGTATTATTCGGTGAATAAAAGGAATGAAGTATTCATAACCTGCTACAACATGGATGAACCTTGAAAACAATATGCTCGGTGAAAGCCAGTCACAAAAGGTCACATTATGTGTTGTTTCCCTTAGAACAGGCAGATCCATACAGACAGAAAGCAGGTGGTTGCCTATGGCTTGAGAAGGAGGGCAAGCGGGGGAATTAGGTTGTGGGTTTTTGTTTTGTTTTTAAGGAATGAAAATATTCTAAAAACTCTTTGTGGCCCTAACCAGTTTGGTGGATAGAGCGTCAGCCTTTGGATTGAAGGGTCCCAGATTGTATTCCCGTCAAGGGCATGTACCTTGGTTATAGGCACATCCCCAATAGGGGGTATGCAGGAGGCAGCTGATCGATGTTTCTCTCATTGATGTTTCTAACTTTCTATCCCTCTCCCTTCCTCTCTGTAAAAAATCAGTAAAACATTTTTAAAAATACCTGAGTGTGATAATTGTATCATAACACTGCTAAACACTCTTGCTTCTCGCATCTTACTATTTGGAATATACTGAAAACCACGAGATTATACTTTAAAATGGTAAAGTTTTTGTTGTGACTTGTATCTCATTTTCTTAAATGTTGGGGGGAAAATTCATCCTGTGGAGATAAACATATCCAAGTAGATATGCCAGTGGTTACTTTTTTCCCCTCCTGTGAGTATTGGACTTTTGCTCTTTCATACTTTCCCCACCACATCCCCATCACAAAACTTTGTCCTCCTCCAAAATTACCCCTTTGGTATAGGATGGAGTGTGACTTCACCTGGAATAATTCATTAGTTTCCTAATGCTGAGACCAAGGCTGTGGCAGGGGGGGTTCTTGGTGCAAACCAGAGCAAGTCACTGGCTCACTTAGGTAGAAATGGAATTTACTGAAGGATGGCTGAGAGGACAAAGAATCAACTGCAAGAAGATTGAAAGCCAAGTACAGAAAATGCAGACTGAAAAACAAGACTCTCACCTTGACCACTCACAGGATCTCCAACTCAGTTTCAAACCTATATTCCCAAGGTTAAAACAACCAGCTTTTTAATCTGTAAACTGAGACAAATCACCAGGGAAATTTTTTTAACATTTACTATTCTCCCTGGAAAAAGAGGACAAAAGTAGACTGGGAGAAAGTACGAAGAGAGAAATTAATGAAGACCGTCAAACTAGGAAGATAGCAGAGTAGTAATATTGCCAGACAGTGTCCCTCCTAACAAATAAGATGCATTCCTAATGCCCCTGCCAAATTAAACTGGTCCCACCGCCTTCCCACACACAAGGGAAAAACCAGTCATTCCTACAACCTTCAAGGAGTCACGGGACTTGCTTATCACTGCAGTGCCGATTCTGTTAAACTCTGCTGCTCTCATCTCACTACTTGCAGCTGTGCCCTGCCCTCCACCCTGGCTGGACTCTACAAGCAGAAACATCTGTCTCCCCCAAACCCCACTCATTCAAGGTCATGGTAAAGCAGTGACTTTGCCTGAGTGTTTGAAGGTTTGGTACATCACAGCCAGGCAGATCTGTTTGTCAGGGATTCTAAGTTTGTCAGCCATTCTCCCTAATCCCTCATCCTAACAAGGACTCTGCGCTGACAATGTCCTCATGAGTAGCTGCCACCCATACCCGGATGATGACTTTTCTCCCTAGCTGGCTGAGTTCCAGCTTCTGAAATGGGTTCGTCTCAGAGAGGACAGCTTAGCCCTGTCTTTGTCTCTGTCAGTCCATGTCTTCAGCGATCTTTTAACAATCAAACATCTATCGAGGGAATTAGGCTAGACACTTGTCTCACAACAATTCTTTGTGGGGGAAAGTATCACACCAAAAACTAAAAGACATCTACATATAAAATCTTTATTACAGGCAATATTGGTCCATACACTACACAATACCAACAGTACAAGTTTAATCTTTCAAAATCATCATTTAAACAGCAAAAGACCAAGAAATAAAATTTAAGTCAGCTGATTATTTTTCAAAATATTCTCAATGCACATTTTTATCCTCAGTTCCCTTATAATAGTGAAACATTCAAATAGAGAAAAATACCCCATTTAACGTATACTAGTGTTAAATGGTTATTTGGCTTAAAATCTGAGTTAAGAAAATCCTTTTTAGCAACCTACATACAGATAAGTAGCAAACTTTATTAAAGAAATTCATTCTGCTTAAAATGTGTAAAGAATTTCATCCATCATGTGTTCTGATTCTAGTACAAGTATTTAATCTCTCACCATCATGGTTCTTATCTGAAGGACCATCTCAAGGAATTGTCCTAGACATAACCTTATCCTCTTCCCCAACACACTTCATCCAAAAATCTGTTCAACAGATGGCAACCGGGAAGCAGTCACTTCGCCATTTGATGCCAATGGTGCTGTGAGAGCACGGCCAAACCTGTTAAACAGCCCTTTTCCTACCTACTGTGGTTGCTTGCTGCTCAGGAGGGAGGATAGACGCCAAGACAAGCAGAAAATCTGCAGCTCCTCTGCTACGTTCCTTAGAACACTTTCAATTTTTCTGGTCAATGCTCTGATTAGGTAACATACATAAAAGCCAGCATATTAGTTTAAATCTTTAAACAAAAAACTATATTTTCCAAAGTCATTATCATTTGGGGCAATTAAGTGATCTTTCCTTGCTTTGTTGAGCTTCATCTTTAGGGCATCTCTTCTTTCTTCCCATTCGTGAAGTTCAGCGTTTCCATGTGCAAACTTACAGCCGCTCCCTTCTGTGCAGGTACCATTCATATACCTGTCAGGACCAATCGGCTTTGTAAGTGTCCTCGAATTGTTTATGAAAATCTCAAAGTGTACACTTTCCTATCTTTACGATTTGCATAAAGCTTTTAGTTCAAAATCTTAAGCCTAGAAAAATGGATATTTTACAGCCTTGACATCCACAATAGAGAAAATACTTTAAACTATTTAAATGTATTTAATGAAAAATATCATTTTATTGCTACAATTCAAACATTTTCTTAAGCAAATGTATCTTTAGATAAATCGATTAAACGAATTTTTCCTGATTTTTGTAATCTAGTTAAAACATAGAACTCATTAAAAAAACAAACAAACAAAAAAACACTGTTTAAATGGGAGTAGGGGGGACTACAATCCTTCCTGATGCAGGGTAGAAAAATTAGAAGTGACATTAATAAGAACTGCCTTAGATAATTTTAAGTATCACATGGATCTAAACTTGGAAATTAAATATCAACAGTGTTTTAACAAAACGAGAAGCAATTCAAAATTATCTCATTGGCCATTAAAAAATTTCTGCATAAACACAGGAGTGACACATTCTCCTTTGACCCCAGTAAGTTTCAGATTTACACTTGAAATATTTAAAGGTAGTTTCAAAATTGATGAACATCTACAAGAAAAGCTGTGGTGAAAGGTTAGACAATCATGGCTAGGAACTCAAAAATGGTCTGGGGAACAATGGGAAGGAAATAAGAGGGGCACCTATAATACTCTCAACATAAAAAGAAAAAAAGTGCTTTTAACAGCAACTGTAAAAAAAAAAATTGGACAAACTCAAATAAACAAATTAATCTTAAGACATTTCAAACTGATAGCAAACTAGTAACCTTTTCCAGTAACCACAGAAGGGTGAAGAAATGTTCAAAGAGCAGCTATAAAGCTTTGGGCCCAAATCTAAGCCTCCAATATTAGAGGATTTATCACCCAGATATCTGTCTACTGACATAATGACCATCAAAAATATACGAGAGCAGCAGTTTCTGTGCGGGCAATAAGAAACCTACCTGTCACAGACACTAAAATATCCTGTCGGAAAGCGGTGCTGCCAGCAGTACTGGTCGTCTTCGGTGTGGAAAACCTTCTCTTTGTGCTTCTCCGAGGAGATGTGGCCTTGCCACTGCTTCTCACTGTTACAGTTCTTCCCACACATCCAGCAGTGAAAGTCCACCTGCAGAGCACAAAGACATGCATCCCATCAGCAGGTGTGTCTGTGCATCCCTCACACACGGTCCAGGTACCAGGGAGACTAGAAACCATCCAAACTAATGGGGAGGCTATTTAGTGGGAGAGCCAGGCAAGAACATAAAAAACAAAGTAAGAAACGGGACCAAGCAAAGGACGCCCACACTGTGAAGCGGGGCTCAGGGGCAATGGCTTCAGCCAGGTGTCCAGGAAGTCTCCAGCAAGGAGATGACAGGAGCTAGTTTGCAAACAAGGATGTCTGTTGGGAGGAAAGGGGGCCAGGTTCAAACAAGGATTCTGGGAAGGAGTAACACCACGAGGAAAAGCGAGAAAGCTCAAGGCTCGCCAGCTGCAGAGGGACAAGCAGCAACTGCGTTCAGTGTACGTGAACAGAAGCCCTTACTATGGGTCAGGATTTGTGCCTGCTAAGAAGACACTCCCCCGTGGCGCACACCTACAGAGAAGGCACTTGGCTGGGGGGTGAGGGGGTGCAAGCTTTAAGTGTCTGAGTAGCATTGCCCAAATGCCCCGTGTAAGAATCATTGCAAACTCTGGCTAAGAATAGACTCTGGACACTTCCCCTGAGATTTTGACTCGATATGTCTGGGATACAGATGAGAATCTATCTTATTAAACACCACAGGTAGATCTCATGCCCCAGCAAGTGTGGGTGGCCCTGCTCTTGGACCCAAGAAGGACTAAGAAAAGGTGGCAAGGGAATGAGAGCTAAGCCTTGGCAGAGAGGGCAGATTCCCAGGCTGTAACACAAGCAGAGGCGCAGGGCAAGGCCAGGCCACGATGTGACCTGGATCAGACTGAATCAATATGGAGAGGAGCCAAAAAACAAAACAAGTAGCACAAGAACGCATGCACCTACGTCAATTTAAAAAGTACGCCAGGCAGAACTATAGCTGTGGAATAAATATGTCAAAGATATGTACGCGTGGCCTGGAAAGATACACACCGGATCCGAGCCCTCTGGGAAGAGGGACAAATGGGGTTCCAACTTTATCTGTAACATTTTATTTATTTTACAGAATACAATAAACTTTTAATATCAGTTCACTTAAGATGGTGGACTCAAAATAATCACTGTATTATCCTCCTCAGTTTTCTGAAAATTTTAAGACGACCACAGCAGGAAAAGACCACATGTTTCTATAGGACCCCGGAGGCAGAGGCTAAACTGCAGGCGGGTAAGGATGGAATCGGGGGGAGAAGAGGACCCTAAATTTCCCAAGAACCTTCTGTGGCTGAGATGAGTGTGTACAGACTCATTATACTTTACCTCTCCATCATCACAGCCCCACTTGGAGATGGTTAATAATCTGCCGAGGCTATTAAAAAAGGAACTTACACTTCAATTTCTCTGGCTCCAAAGTCAGAAAAAGGATCAAGGAGAGGATTTTAAAATGAAGAGTCTTAAACTAAGACAGCAGCAGGCCATTGGAGAGAGAGAGAGAGATGAAGATACCAGAAAAGGGCAGGGAGTGAGTGATGGAGGCAGGTTTTAGAGAAGGTGGGAGAAAAAGAAAGGTTTTTTCTACGGTTTAGAAGCAACCACCAGAACTTACGGTAACTTCGGCATAATCTGTCGGCATGTGAATTTGTTTGCCATTTTCCTTGTTGGACTGACTGGCTGCATCATCACTTTTTTCATTTTTTTGACTCTTTAGCCAGAGTTCATAAAACTGCTCCATATCTTGTACTAAAGAAAAATAAATGACTTTCAGCAACAGATATAAGCGTACCATTTAAATAAACGCAAGATCATGCACGCTTTTTCTATCAGTCAGTGTACATTTTCAAAAGAAAAGCGAGAGGCTGAATGGAGACTGATTATATTAGACAGGGAGAGACGGTCCAAGCAGCCAGGGAACTATCATGGGCAAGAATCAAACTCAGCGCTGTTAGGCCACAAACATTAGTTTTCAAGATTAATGACCTCCTCCCTGCATTTGCAAGACGCTTTGGTTGGGGTGTTTAAAATTCAGAAACCATTCTAAGGGTACCACTGAAAACAAAACAAAACAAAACAAAAAGCCTCTGAACAGCTTCATGTTGCCCACACTAAACACTTGTTATCGTTGCCATAACCACACAAGCGACTTACTCAGCTGGGGAGCCTGGAGCTGATACGCTCCTCACTGCTTACTGAGAAAGAGGAGAACACACTACTATTGGGACCGAGATTCTGACTCTGATGGGGGTCCATCAGTTAAGCTACAGTCCCAAAGGACTGACATGCTGGGGTACAGTTTATAATACAACCGTGACCAGGTCCTGGGAAGTGGCTGCAAGCTGCTCCCTATGCACAAACCGATGCATGACTGTCAAGCGCTAAGGCCAGGTTTCTCAGCCTCAGCACTGCTGACATTCTGGGATGGACAGCACTGCTGTTGGGGGCTGTCCTGTGTGCAGTGAGATGTTTAACATCTCTGGACTCCACCCACTAGATGTCAGTACCACATTCCCAAAAGTCATGACAATAAAAATGTCTCCAGATATTGCCAGTGTTCCCAGAGGGGAGGGGTGTTTGTGGCCAAATTTATCCCCAGTTGCTGTTACGTCCCTATTCCAAGCAAGACAATGCGGAGGAGTTCCATACACACAAGCCACTGAATTCTGACACGGTTGAAACATGGTAGATGATAGGCTTAAATCCAATTAGTTCTTGTAATCCAGAGATTGCAGATCTTAAGGGTACCACTCTCGCCAGCTCCCACAGAAGTGGCGGAAAGTCCATAACTTTCCATTGATTAAGATGAAAGAACAATGATCCTTGGAATAAAACATTTTCTGGTCAAAAGTGAAAAGTTGTCTGAAGCTCCTTTTAAGGTCTCCCACAGTGAACTAGAAGTTTGACCAAGATACACGTTCTCTCCTTGCCTTTGAATCTGGGCCTGTTCTACCAGTCAGGCCTCCTTCAGGAAACTCCGGTTCTAATCTGCTTAATTCAGGGGTGACTATTCACAGCAGGAGACGATCTGATTTAAGCAGTTGTGGAAGGACTGAACTTCCCCACACCATCACTAAGGAATACATCCACCACATCGAAGGATGCAAACCTAGATATCTGTATCCACATCTGACCTAAGCACAGATCAGATGTCAGAGTCTGCTCCACTGGTAAAATGGTACAATTGTCTCAGAAGCAAACTGCTTTCGGTGTTCACGACAAGCTGGCACATTTCCAGAGAGGAAAGAAACTTTCAGGCGAGCTAGATTTCATGGATATCAAGGCCACAATTAAGACATAACTTACTCCCATTTTCCTTCATATAAGTCCACACTTCTCGTTCTTCAGGACTATGAGCAAAAGAGCAGTTTCCAATATATTGACACTTTTTCCCAGAAGCAATATGATTGCACAGCTGTATTAAAAAATATGAATATAAAACATAATACACTTAGTAAAACTGCCTAATTTTTACACTTAAGCAAAATAAGCATTATTATCCATGCTAATACTGAGTAAGACAATTTTAAAATAAAACTGATTTGATTCTATGCAAAGTGACTATAAGCCCAAAATACATGAGATGATATTAAGCTTTCCATTTCAAACATTTTCAAAAGAAAGAAAATATGGAACTGGAATGTGGAACATTTTCTTACAAATGTTTACAAAATTCACTTATTCAGAGTATCTGCTTTCAACATAGTGGAACATTTTTATCTCCGAAGGCTGATCTCTGGCCCCTCAGTCTGACAGCTCCTATTCTCCCCTACCTATAATCAGGATGCCTCCTTTCCAGCACTTGGAAAGCAGTTAAGAAACTGAAAAGGTACTAAACAGTGTCAAAAATAAATAAATAAATAAATCTTGGACATTTAGTTTTCTAATAACCAACAGACAATGAACCTTGGCCATCATTCACTAGGTATCCATTTTCTGAAGATGATTATTATGCTAACCAAGCCATCCAGTTACATAGTATTCAAATAATATATCTTCTGATTATTTGCATTTATATTTTACAGTGTAAATACAATGATATTAGTGGGGAAATAAAGTGAGCAGCAGAATGCAGACTTCCTAGGAACCTTGACTGTGAAGAACTAAGAAAACCTCCATCAGCCCTGGCCAGAAGCTCACTTGGTTATAGTGTTATCCCAATACACCAAGGTTGCGGGTTCAATTCCCAGTCAGAGCATATATAAGAATCAACCAATGAATGCATAAATAAATAAAACAAACCAATATGCCTGCCTTTTTCCTTCCTTTCTCTCTTCCCTTCCTCTCTATCTAAATCAAACAATAAATAAGAATTTAAAAAGAAGAAAGATCCCTGGCCAGTTTGGCTCAGTGGAGAGAGCATCAGCCTGCAGACTAAAGGGGTCCTGGGTTCAATTCTGGTCAAGGGTACATGCCCAGATTGCGGGCTCAATCCCCAGTGGGGGGGTATGGAAGGAAGGGGTGCAGGAGGCAGCGATCAATGATTCTCTCTCATCACTGATGTATCTCTCTCCCTTCCTCTCTGAAATCAATAAAAATATATTAAAAAAAGAAAACCTCCAGCCCTCGCCAGTGTGGCTAAGTGGATAGAGCATAGGCCTGTGGACTGAAAGGTCCCAGGTTCAATTCTGGTCAAGGGCATATACCTTGGTTGCAGGCACATCCCCAGTAGGGGGCGTGCAGGAGGCAACTGATCAATGTTTCTCTCTCATTGATGTTTCTAATTCTATCCTTCGCCCTTCCTCTCTGTAAAAAAATCAATAAAATATATTAAAAAAGAAAAAAAAAACCTCCATCACCAAGAGCACATTCTTAAATATTTATATTTTATTGATTTTTCACAGAGAGGGAGAGAGGACAGAGTCAGAAACATCGATGAGAGAGAATCATCGATAGCTGCCTCTTGCACACCCCCTACTGGGGATGTGCCCGCAACCAAGGTACATGCCCTGAATTGGAATCGAACCCGGGACCTTTCAGTCCGCAGGCCGACGCTCTATCCACTGAGCCAAACCGGTCCCGGCCAAGAGTTCATTCTTAAATACCAAGAATAAACTTCTCTGCACTGGCCGAGAGGCTCAATTGTTTGGAGTGTCATCCAATACACCAAAAGATGGTGTGTTTGATTCCAGGTCCAGGCACATAGCTAGGTTGCAGGTTCAATCCTATTGGGGCTCGTACAGGAGGCAACTGACAATGTTTCTCTCTCACATCGGTGTTTTCCTCTCTCTTCCTCTCTCTCAAAAAAACAATAAAAACATATCCTCAAGTGAGGATTTTTTTTTTAAAGCAACCTATTAAAAAAATACACTTGTTGTTATAGAACATAAATCCTAGCACAATTGTTAGCTTATCTTAGTTTATTTATTTATATTTCAACAGAAGTTGGCCATATATATTAGCTTATATAATATTAGATGTTTAGCATCAGTTTTTGCTAAAAATTTAAAGCAGTGCCCTAAACACTCATTTTCTCCCCTTAGACCAAGATCAGTGACCCCTCCTCTTAGGATCTTTTGTATTAAGTCAATAGTCAATAAAACATTCTGTGACTGACTTGATTGTATTCTTTCCCCCAATCAAACCTCAGTAAGCACTTAGGCATTACTAGGGAAGCATTTACCATAGTCTTTAAAGCTCAAATAAGCAGCAGGGAGAAGAGAAACAAAGGAAAAGGCTGGACATTTTGCTAGGTTTTTACATAATACCATCTCGTGTAATCTTCCCTATAATACAATTATTCCCATTTACAGACGAGTTGACTGAGGCTAATGTAACCAGAGCCCTTGTAGCAGATTCTGAAGCTCATTCTTTCCACCTTAGGACACTGCCTACATACATATACACAAGAGTACTGTTTCCTCTTTTAGAAAAAGGATCCCTAAGCAATACCTAGTATGGAAGAAAAAGAAAAGGAAATAAGCTACTGTAACATCATACAGCAGTACACCACCTCCGAGATTTCAGAATACAGCAGTACACCACCTCTGAGATTTTAGTCCTAGACAACTGCTTAATGAACTAGAATTGTTCTCAGGTAACTCAGTTTTAGCAAAGTATTTAAGGAATTTACTCATAATCTCAACCATCTTTTAAAGCCCAAGATATCAATGGTTCCAATCAGCCTTCTTCCCCTCCTACATACCTCACTGGTTAAATCACCCAAATTTGAGTCTGAAGCCGCGGTTGATGAAACACAAACACATCACTTCCTTCCAAGACTAACTTTGTAACCAGTATAAGTTTTACAAACTGCAAGGTACTCTGGGTGATGGGAATTAATGTCTCTTCCTCAACTCTTTCTGATTAGTCAGAAAGGGGGGGCTTCCTTTATTCAGGGCACTGTCCACTAACTCACTGCTGACATCCCTCCACTCTCTCCACATCACTCCCCATGAAGAGGACAGTCCAGAGCCAGCTCACGAAAGGTCTTCCGTGTAAGGCAACAGAGGATACAGAGGTGAAACATGCCACCTTGTGAATGAAGCACTATCCTGCCTTTAAGTTGGTCTGGCATTTTCATTCCAGGAGTTTTTGATTGAACATTTTTCCTTTGGGTTATTGGTAGAAGGCCCTATCAAGTAGGGTGTCTTTTAGTTAGTATACATTGCTTCAGTGAAGGAAACTGGCATGATTTAAAAATAGCTCATCCACAGCATTCATCATAACACAGAAAGCCTTGGGTTTTATAGCAAAGCCGAGGAATCAAATTTAAATGAAATTCTCTTCCATTCCCTCCCAAAAGTAATTCATCTGAAAAACAAGTAAAATCATGCCCAGAAGTCTCTCTTCCTTGATTCTCTATTTACTTTTTCCAAGTAACTCCTAAAATTCCAATCCATCTGAAAACTGTCCCAGAATCATACAGTTAAATACTAAAGGGAAGGAAAAAAGAGAGGACCATTTAAATTTCATTATTTTACGATGAGCATTATTTAAAGGGAGCCAATTTTGATCTAAATTGCTACTACTTTCTAATAATTTGAAATGCCTAATTTAAAAAAGTGGCTTAAAAATTACGTATGTACATCAAACTGTAAAGGCATTTGTTTCTTTGTGGGGAGAGGACGGATGTTCATCCACTTCTTACGTTCAACAGACATCACTCTCATCGCACGCCGATCTTTGGTCCACCTAAGAAAAATGGAGTTCAGAAAAAACAGACACACTGGCAAAGGCATAATATAAAGGGACAGGTACGCAGTTTGTACCTAAAGGACCAGAGATTTCTTTTTTTTCTCAACCCTTCTAAAAGAAATGCCTTATAATGCTGTCATTTCCTGTTGTTTTTTGTAAATAAACATTCCCTACAAATCCTAAAGAATGAACTGATAAAATATAAGAAAAACACTATTGAGTTTTGTTGAATTCTTAGCTACTAAAGCCTAAAAAAAAAAATCTCTTTCCTTGTGCTTTTTAATTAATCCTAAATTATCTACTTTCCTCTCCCCTCTTCAAAGTCTTAATCTTTTCTCACACGATTTTACACCTATGAAACAGATTATTATAAAACAGGTATTGTTTCCACACACACACACGCTACTTACGAATGCCTTGCTTTTGCACTACAATATTTTCTGTTTTTATCTGGTTCAGTGACTTGACCATTTCTCAGACACTGAGCACACACAAATTTTATCTTCATATTAAGAAATCCAGGCATTATTTGATTGCCAGGTACCTTAAACAATTAAAAGACCAGTTTTAATTTTAACAGAAAAACAGTTTTCTGAGAATAGTGAATCACCATGTTTTTCTTTGTTTGTTTGTTTGTTTTCACAATAGCATACAGGATATCTCTTTTTGTCTGGTTTGATGATTTGACCACTATCTATGATGTGATAATAACTAAATCTCCAATCCTCCACCCAAATGTAAGAGAATATGACAAAAAGAAGATTAAAGGTGTCAAACCTCGATTTATAAAAATCAGCTTTGGAATTGATGACTGGAAGTTTTTTGGGAGGAGAGGGAATAGATGTGCCAGATGGGAAGTAAAACTATAAATACACCTCCCTTACATAATATAAAATATAACTTTTGTAACTTAATATTCCTTAGTTTCAGTATGATTACATATCTATACATTACATATTTATACCAATTAATATTAATTATGAAGTCTTAAAATTATTCTTTTGGATAATAGTAGAATCCCCAAAGCCCAAGATCTCAATTGTTCTGTCAATTAGGCTGAATAAGAAAATTGTGTCTTATATACTTGGCATATATTATGGGATGCCTAATTTTTTATGATGACCAAACTTTTTAAAATTCAGAATTTTTTTTCACATTAAGAAATCCTCAACAGACATTAAGAAAGTAATGGACTGCAAGTATGAACTGCCTCTGCTAACAACTAATGTCCATTAGGCCATTCCAGAAAGATCCCAAATGCAAAAGTACACAAGATAAAATACCTGTGCTCCAGGCATATTTGCTTCCAAATTTTGCCAATATCTTTTAGATTCTTGAACAATAGCATCATGTGAGATACCTGGGAAATGTACAAGCATTCCTTTAGGATCTCTATGTAATAACAGCCCACCAATCAGGTCCCAGTCAGACTCCATTCCCTAATTATCCCCAGCCAGTGTAATCTATCATCAAGGAGGAATGAACATCACATGACTCTTTTCAAAATGGAACATTTACAAATAGAGCTCTTGGTGTTTTCCCAGGAATCTTGCTCGCAAAACGATACCACATGCATGCATTTATGCCAGTAATTAACTACATAAGAACATAATAAAAACAGAGACTCTGAAAATGAAAAGTAACTTCACAGTTTAAAAGCTCAGAGCAAGCTGAAACCGGTTTGGCTCAATGGACAGAGCGTTGGCTTGGGGACTGAAGGGTCCCAGGTTCGATTCCGGTCAAGGGCATGTACCTTGGTTGCGGGCATATCCCCAGTAGGGGGTGTGCAAGAGGCAGCTAATCAATGACTCTCTCTCATCGATGTTTCTAACTCTCTATCTCTCTCCCTTCCTATCTGTACAAAATCAATAAAATATATTTTAAAAAATAAAAAATAATAATAATAAAATAAATAAAAGCTCAGAGCAAAATCATCAGGTTGTCATATCAGGATGAAAGACAAGAGGCTCTGAGACTGTTTCATCAAGTCTAGACTGCTCTTGAGACATGTCTCAGTCACACACACAGACACCTACCTGTTTCACTCTGCAATATCCAGACTTTCAATTCTACAAGACTGTGAGCATAAAAGCACTCATCTTCCCTTAAACAGCCATATCGAACCTCATGTCGACATAAATCCAGCTGACACTGACCATGAAAAGAACGTATTTTAGAATATTTTACTGTTGTCTCTCGCAAAATGTGGACAAGGCACCTAAGATGAAAAGGGAGGGACATTTTAATATAATCTGCCATAAATATATATATATAATTTCAAGTTTAGACTAGCAATACATTTTAAATCTTTATAAAAAATAAATTACTGTATACCATTGTTGGATTGAGAGGGGGATAATTATTGGTTAAATCATAGAACACCTAAATCCATGTCATGAGCAGCTAAAAGTCAATAATACTTTTCAGTACTAAATAATTAATTTAGTAATTCATTTAAAAACAGCAAAATTTGCTAACAGACATTTAAAAATAGTCATTATCATTCAAAACAACAAAAGAAGAGGGAGGACTGCCTGAGCAGGTAATAGTCTGGTTTTATTTGGAGCTAAGAAAGGAATCTATTTTGTCACAATAAAAATCAGAAACTAGTAACATACTTATTGTCTTGAAACTCATGCTTTGTAACCGGGTGAGAACAAGAAGTAGAATTATCTTTATTTCTTTTACTGATCATTCTAGGCTTATGATCAAAACATTTCTGGAACAGACAGAGAAGACAAATTATCACAAAAACATAATGCAAATTATAACTTTTTACCCTGAATATTTCTTAGATTCAATATTATTACATTTATACATTATATACTTATACCAACTAATATTCGCTATAGTCTTTTGGATAATAATAGAAGCTGCCATTGCCAAGTGAATGCTTTAGCAGCACCTGTACTAATACTTTATACTTCTGAGTCACAAGTCAGAAACTATCACCAATTTTACAGCAAATAAGGTTTGGAGACAGCACCTCACAAAGGAATATAAATTCTCCTAGATGCTCCTGCAGAAGTTTAAATACAGTCAGGTGGACCTTTCCGTTGCCACCAAAGAAAGCCTCTCTACTGAATGCCCCTTTCCGCTCCAGCGTCCACACATCTATCTCTTCTTGGCAATAAGCAAACGTGCAGTGGCCTGAATATCGACATTCCTCCTCGGCAGCAACATCTAGAAAGACAGAGAATTCAGACATTTATAATGTGGGCCACTGGTTTTCCAAAACCACTGAATACTGAACACATTTAGGGCATCATCTGAATTGTTATAACATTCCTGGGGAGTTTCAAACGATGACACCCATGTTACTATCCAGAAATGGTATTATCTCTTAATAAAACAAAAACCCAGCATCATAAATACAAATTTTTTTCCAGACAGGGGAAAAAACCCTTGATATGCTCATGTACCCTACCTAAGTTTAAAAAATCGTTTAGAAACCTTCAGAGTTTGTTTAGATGAAGTGGCTTAACAAAATAAAAATACTAAATCCTTTCTAAAGCAGTTTAAAGAACAATATATTTTCTTTCAAAGCCTTAGTTCACTGTTCTGATTCTTAAAGTTTGAGACAGTTTCTGTTTAAAACCTGTTCAAAAGTCCTGTTTCCATAAACAGTTACAAAATATACACCACAAAATAAGTTTAAAACCAAGGAAAAAATAATATAAAAAAGACTAATGTCTCAATCCAATCCAAGGAACTTACCCTTAACTCTAAACATTTTTAGTGACAGAAATCCTGGGACTATTACAATAAATGCAGCATATCATTTGTAACACTAAGTAATTATAATACTACACACCTTTACATATATAATAAGGTCCTTCATAATTTGTTTTTGTTGGTCTGGGGCGTATTTTTTTCCATGTTTTATCTTCAACATTCTTTATCCTACCAATTAAAATATCTTTCTTACATTTATGGTCTGTATCAGCAAGGAAAGTGAAATCCATTAACTTAGGGCCTGAAAAAAGATGTAAAAAGGATTGCTCATATGCACAAAAAGTATCATTTCATTTTACAGGCAGATGCAAACTGATTCACTGATTACTAAATTCCTACAAAAATCCCATTTTCATAATACCAAAATGAAAACAAGCCACTAAAGTAATTTTTACTTTTAAGGTATTCAGTAAACAACACATAGTTCTATTCAATACCAGTCCTCCCAACATATATCCTTATTTAGAATAGGAATTCTAATGGCTCATAAAAAACAATATTAAACATAAATCTAAGGGGAAAAAATGAATCGGGGAATACAGTGTGTTTCAACTGAGGATAAATTGTGTTTAAATCATTTAATTTAAGGGTGAAGATAAGAAATAAACCAATATAGCCGGGACCGGTTTGGCTCAATGGATAGAGCGTCGGCTTGGGGACTGAAGGGTCCCGGGTTCGATTCCGGTCAAGGGCATGTACCTTGGTTGCGGGCATATCCCCAGTAGGGGGTGTGCAAGAGGCAGCTGATCGATGATTCTCTCTCATCGATGTTTCTAACTCTCTTTCTCTCTCCCTTCCTCTCTGTATAAAATCAATAAAATATATTTAAATAAATAAATAAATAAATAAATAAATAAATAAACCAATATAAAGTACTTTGATTTCCATAAACATTATACCATATACTGGTCTTATAAAAAAAAATTTTGTTCTCACTCCATTTAAAAATGACCAAGTTCTTAAGCATATACTTAATACATACATAAATAATTTCATAAAAATCTCAATAAGCTTTCAAAATTAGGTAAATATTCTACTGCATAAGATTATATAGAGAAAATTATACCAAATCGGAGAAGGGACTTTAAATTAGACTCCAAAGGCCCCAAATCAATAACTGTGGCTTCTTTAGAAAAGAATTCAAACAGGGACTGAAAAGTCAAACACCTGGTGTTTGCTACATGTATTTACAAATTCCTAAGAACTCTCAGGTTACTAGTTCAATACTGTCTGCTGCTTCGGTTGATCCTGACCTGATTTTACAAAACAGATCTGACAAGCTTGTCTCAGTTCATGGGTTGCTTCTAGGGGATGTCTTGGGATCACTGATGAAGGTGGTTTTGTAATTGTACTTCCAAAAAAGTTTCCAAAGTCATTTCTAGGGTGACTTGAAATCCCCAGGAAACTCTCAGAAGCAAACAAACTTCCTGGTCCATTCATCTGCAAGATTGAAAAAACAAAAAACAAAAAACAGCCAACAAATATTGATTGCACTCTCATTAAAGCAGGAAACAAATTCTTCTTTAGTCTATGGAAAATAAGAGATTCTTCACAGACTAAAGTCTGTATTGTTCTGTCCCTTAAAGGGTTTTATTTTAAAAGGTTTCTTTGAAATAAATAAATAAATAAATAAATAAATAAATAAATAAATAAATAAATAGGTTTCTTTGTATATTTCCTCTATTTGAGTCTCTACACCCCTCCCCCACTTTTCCTGACCCTTCCTGAGTTGTTAAATGTAATAGGTAATTGTTCTGCTTCACAGCAAGCACATCTTACATGCCCTGATCTTAGACAGTTGACCTTGAACAACATGGGAATGAAGAGGCTGACCCCACACAGTCACAAATCCGTATGCAACTTCTGACTCCACAAGGACTTCCATTGTCACAGCATCCTCAGGGGCTTGGTTGATTCCAGGAACCCTGAGGATACCAAAATCTGAGGATGTTCTAGCTCCTTATATAAAATGGCCAGATCAATGCACACAGAGTCAGCCTCCCACATCCACTGACTCCCAACCTCAGTTCAAAAACAGTACAGGTATTTATTGAAAAAAACCTCACAGTTCCAACCCGTGTGGTTCAAGGATCAACTGTATTTCCTTGTTTTGTTCACTCTGTGCTAAAGCCTCTTAACACTGTCTGCAATAGTGGTTAATCGGCTATAACAGATCCAGTCTTAAACACAGAGCACTTATTACTGGATGTTCTAAAAGAGTCTTATCCTAACACTATTTCCCACAGCACACACAAAATTTTAGGGAGACTGTCTCGACCATTCAAATAGCTCCGTTATTTAAGTAAAAGACCTATTTTCAATTTAACTGATGTATTTACAAAAGAGGAAGTGGCACTTACAAGTAAAAGGGAAGAATTACTGTTGTTAAGCGATGTTCCCTCTCTAGAAGTTGAGGTGGGCAGATCTAAAATAATAAAAAAACTTCAACAGACCTTTTCATTCTAATCAAGTAATAAGAACATCAGGACTTAGTAACTGGCTATGGCTTCCCACGTATTTTCCATCCCAGTTCCTAGAAGCCTTCTTGCTCAAGATTGATACTCAAAGAGGGATGTGGAGTTTTCCCTTTCCTCCAGAAACCAAGGATGTAAAAAAACCCGTAGATAAAAAATAATTTAAATAAAAGCTATTTTCAGAGATAGAAACTAAGGCAGGGCCTACCAAGTGAGACTGTTAAAAACAAAAAAACAACAATAAAAGTAAGAGCCCTGGCCTTCTGGAGCTCAGTTGGTTGAAAAGTTGCAGATTTGATCACAGGTCAGTCTGGAGCATAGGAGAGGCAACCAATTGATGTTTTTCTCTCTCTCTCTCTCTCTCTCTCTCTCTCTCTCTCCCTCTCTCTCTCTCTCTCTTTCTCTCTCCCCCCCACCACCCCCCATTCCTCTCTCTAAAATCAATTTTTAAAAAACCAGGAGCCCAGCCAGCATGGCTCAGTGGTTGAGCATCAACGTATGAACCAGGAGGTCACAATTCATTTCCCACAGGGTACATGCCCAAGTTGTAGGCTCAATCCCCTGTGTGGGACATGCAGGAGGCAGCCAATTAATGGTTATTATTATTGACTAGAGGCCCAGTGCATGAAAATTCATGCACTCCTCAGCCAGGCCTGTGCCCTCTCGCAGTACAGGAGCCCTCAGGGGATGTCCGACTGTGGCTTAGGCCCACTCCCTTGCGGCTGCCTCTGTGGAAGGCTTGGAGCCAGGACTGGGACTGTGCCGCTGCCTCCCCCACTGCCTCTGTGGAAAGGGGGGTGCCAGGACCACCATGGCTGGACTGGCAGCACAGGCTTGCTGGCCCTGCCCCCGCCCACTGGTTGTTCCAGCAGGTGGATCTGGAAGGTCGTTCCACAGTCTGATCTAATTAGCATATTAGTTCTTTATTATATAGGATGTTTCTATCTCTCTCTCCCTCTCCCTTCCCCTCTGAAATCAATAAAAATATATAATAAAGACTAAGAAAATAATTCATATTCAATAGGAAAAGAGCCTCTACTTTTGAAAATATGAAGCAAGAATTCACTATAACATAAAGAAAATAGTGAGGTTCAATTATTTTCTTTTTCTTAACCTACCACTCAATTAATTTCTCCCTGCCATTTGTCTTCCACAGATTTTAGTTTCTTCCATTGTCAATCTTTAAATCAATTATTTTGATTTTTCCCTTTAACCACACATCAATGCCTCAGAAATATGATGATTTATATTACTATTGCTGGAAATATTTATTAACCCTGGGATTACAGAAACAGAAGTCAGTCCAAAACTCAGTAATCCCTGTAAAACTAAGGCATAGTTTACTGAGCTGAGTGAGTGCAGCCTGAAATAGGTCTAATTGTTATTATTCTGAACGTTCATCTTAAATTAGTTTTAAACATGTATTTGCCCAGCTCAGAATTTAAAAGGATAACTTGTCTTTAAGACCTTTTGGGGTAGACCTTTCTTGGAGAAAATGTTGAAAGTCATTTCACCTCCCAAAAACAATAGACACCCAGCTTAATAAAGAATCTTATTAAAAACCCAGTGCCACATGCATTCCTGTTCTCCTTTGCTTCTTGATCTCCAGAATGGCACATTTAAGTCAAGGTGAATTTAAAATTGAAGGTTTTGTTTTTATGTTTTCAGCTACAATAAAAATAATTTAAGTACAACTACCAAGGGTTAAATAATTGCCAAACACACGCAAAAATAAAAATAAGTAAACAAATAATTGCCGAATATCAACTGTCATTTTTAGAAAATGAACCACAATTGCTTACACAAATGACTGGATTCTTACCTCGTTTGGATTCACTCATTGAAAATGAACTTAAAGAAGAACAGAAATCTTCTAAGGATGAGGTCAAAGGTGGATACAATTCTGAGAAGGAGGATGGAGGGGCATACCTCGCACCAATGGGCAAGGCGCTCAACAGAGACGCTGAAAAGGGTAAGCTAGGGGTGACACTGGCTGTCGGAAGGGGTCCTCTGACTAAAGCTGATGGCTGAAAAAAAAAAAAGATCTGATGACAATCCACGAATCTCAGTTCCAAGTTAGCTGAGCTGCTTTTAACATTAGCATATATAAAAACAAATCAAGACACTGGATGATATATTACATAAAGTTGAAATCAAAATCAAAACTCAGTAGAGGAATCTATTCCACAGAGCTTATTGTGCACTGAAGAATGAGAAGTCGTCATCCATAAAACTTATTTTGCTTTAAATATCAAATGCCTATTCTTTGTTCAAATGTTAAATTTACCCTTTTCATAGATATGGTTCCAATAGGCGTTGAAGAAAATTGGCTAATTACTAGAGAGTATGTATCTTTTTTATTTCAAAAATGACCAAATTAGCCAGTTATATCACCAAAGAAAGACAAAAGTAATTTTCAAGATAACAAATCCAAAGTTCAGCTGGTAGGCAATTCTGAAAATATCTAATAGGTTATTTTGCCATTTTTTTTTTTAAGTTTCTTATATTGCCTTTTCTTTTTTTAACAAGCCTGCCTTAATTTTTTGAAGGAAGTCACACTGAACATTACCATAACAGTGTCATTAGTTTCAGGGGCGGAATCAAGAAGGTCATCTATTTCCTCTCCAAGGACCATATCTCCATCATCTACATAAGCTTCCGGCATTGTAAAGGGGATCTTTCCTCCATTTGCCAAAACTGTTGATGGCAGAGAGCTCTCTTCCACTTGCAGAGGCAAAACAGAAGTTAAGGGCAAAACTGAAACTGAGGCCAGCTCACTTCCAACGTGGTGAGGAAAACCAGATGCAGGTACAGAAACAATAGGAAGTGCTTCTTGCCTTGGCGTTAATAAATCTGTAACGTAGATAGGAATGTACTCACTCATTTTTAGTGTATGTACGTAATACCAATGTTAATAAACAGTAAGAATATAAAGAGCAATGATAAAAACAAATAAATACGTAGATACAATAGTAAAAGCAATTCAAATAAAAGAGCAAATGTAATTATAAAAATAATTTGTTTCCCCCAGGCATAGATATATTCATTTGAGAAAATATTTCCTTCTTTCTCAAAATACCTGGGCCCCTTATAGGCAGAACTATTAAAATAGTGGTAAGGCCTTAGTGGGCATTCAATGACTGCTTACTGATATCAGCATTATCAATCTTGTGCAGGCTCAGACAGGAGCATAAAAGTGGTTTTCAAAATTATTCTTGCTTTCATACTAATAACCACATAGTAATCTCATTTGACAACTATAACACATCTCATGTCTAACACTGGCACTTTTCAGATTAAGATGACATGGAAACACATACCTGGCTCGATATCTTCAACAGAACAGTTCAAAGCCTAGAAATTAAACCAAATAATGAATCACAGTATTTTTCAGGATTCTAAACTATAAAGCAATCTGTAAACTTCACTGTAAGACATTCCCAATTAAGATCCAAAAAATAAATGGAACATGTAAATCTTTGCAGTGAGTGGTGGTATTAGCCAGCAGCACCACCTGTCTGTTCTGTGGGCCAGCATTTCTGACAGGTTCAGGAGCCAGTTCCAGAGCCACGAGCCTGGCCACCACTCACTCCCAACTCACAGTGGCCACTAGCATCCTAACAGCTCCAAGAAGACTTACCTATGAAAAAACAACTTGTTAACTGTGTTTATCCCAAAGACTCCCAAAATTACTTACTTGGCCTCCACCACTTTTTCTAACAAAACCTAACATCTCTGAATACCCTGTAAAATGTTCCATCAGACTTCAGGAGATACTGGGTAAACGTGAAAGGTACTACTCAAAGTGCCTGCTTTCTTTTCACAGGCCAGGAAGCTCAGGCCAATAATGTGTCTGAGAAATAAAAAGGTCTCAAATAAACACAAACTAAACATATTAAAAGCAAAACTACTAATGTGCCTATCTTTGCTTCTTCATTTTCATATTATGATTTTTATAGAAATAATAGCTTTACCTTGGTAGCCCTGTCCCCAGGAACTGATTTTAATGACTGCTGAAAGAAAACAAAGAGGAGAACTTAAAAACAGAATTGACTCCAGGTTACAAAACAAAATGAGAACACCTGATGGAGAGAACGCGGCTTACCTCGGTTCTAACATATGCTTTTCTTATTTTAAATCCCAATTTCTGAGCTAGTTCTTGAGTTAGTTTTATTACATGTTCATCCTGAAACAAGAAAGAATATATATTTAATAAAGAGTTATATTTTACTAACTGTGAAGATTAGGCAAAACTTATGCCTATCTCTCTCTCTCTCTCTCTCTCTCTCTCTCTATCTATCTATCTATATATATATATAGCAACTGTTGCAACTGTTTTACAACCAAACAACCAGAACGACCGGAACAACCAGACAACCGGATGAGCTATGATGCTCAATACAGGAGCTGCCCCCTGGTGATCACTGCACTCCCACAGCCAATTTCCCACAGCTGGCCAACCTCCCGTGGTCCCTTCCAGCTCAGGCCGGCTGCCCAACCTACCACGGACCTGATCTGGACTGGGCAAGAGGGCCCCAATCACCTTGATCACAGCCAGGCTGAGGGACCCCACCTGTGCACAAATTCAAGCACCAGGTCTCTTGTATAATTTATAACTTACAAATTTATATAACTGTAACTTATAACTTATATTCTGTCAAAACATTTGCTTTATGAGTAATTAGTTCCAACTGAAACAGGCTGGTGGCTGGTTGGAAAATTTAACTCTTTAGATGCCATATACCCACAAGGAATTAATAAAATGGTCATGATGTAAACAAATGAACAAAAATACAAATCTCATACCTGAGGCACCGCTAAGGAGCACTTGGCTACTGCGTCATAAGCCTCTCTGTATCTTCCCAAATTACTTAGGGCCTTTGATTTCCGATACAGAGCTTTGCAGTTACTGGCATTTAAACTGAGGACTTTATCACAGTCTTCTATAATTTTATCAAGGAAACCCTGGTGTGGAAGACCAAATATAGTTAGCAATCAAACAATCTTGCGCTAATGTCTTCCTGTAAATAAATGCAAACACATTACGACCTCAGGCTATTCCCCTCCCTTTAAACTCCAGGTATTATTTTCCTTCTTAAAATTATTTTCAGTATGAGATTTCAAATACATAAAAGAAGTAAGTATATCATAAACACCTATGTATCCGCTACCCAAGTCAGACAAAGGTTAACATTTGGCCATAAAAGCCACAGGTCTTCAAGAAAGAAAACTTTCTAGACTTGACAGATGCCTGCAGGTGTCACTCTCTGTCCTATTCTCCTACCATTCGTAGTCTCCCCTTGGCAGATCTCATTAAAATGTCAAATGAGCCGAAACCGGTTTGGCTCAATGGATAGAGCGTCGGCTTGGGGACTGATAGGTCCCGGGTTCGATTCCGGTCAAGGACATGTACCTTGGTTGCGGGCATATCCCCAGTAGGGGGTGTGCAAGAGGCAGCTAATTAATGACTCTATCGTCGATGTTTCTAATTATCTCTCTCCCTTCCTCTCTGTACAAAATCAATAAAATATATATTTTTTTTAAATGTCAAATGAAAATGTAACTCCCAAACAGCTAGATGATGAGAAAGGAACACATTAGAGAAAACAAAATAAATATCAATGAATGCTCATTAACAAAGAACTAGGTGACAACATGGGTACCTTTCTTATTTTCACAGCTAAGTTTTACTGAACGTCCATAGTGAAGATTATAGGCACATCAAAATATTGCTTTTAAGAAAGCTTGTTAATTCTTTTGAAGGCTAACTACCGTGTTTCCCTGAAAATAAGACATCCTCCGAAAATAAGACCTACTTACAGTTTTCCTTCTGATTGAAACAGAAGGCATCCCCCCGAAAATAAGGCCCCCCTAGGCTAAACATGAGAGATTTGGTCCACTGATTCTGAAAGAAATGGAGTTCCAAGAAATTCACCAGGAAATTCAGGAATTGGATTGTTATGATGATGTTCCAGAAGATGATGACATGAATGTCATTGAATAAATCAGTAAATTCTTGATACTGTAGGATTCAGTTTGTCTGATTTGTGTTGACAACTACCGTACTACCATACCGTATACAGGTAATAAATTTCCTTTATTTTCATTAAACAATAAATGTGTACCGTATTCTTCTTCATGGAAAAATAAGACATCCCCTGAAAATAAGACCTAGCGCATCTTTGGGATCAAAAATTAATATAAGACACTGTCTTATTTTCAGGGAAACAGGGCACCTTTTGGGTAAAAATCTATTCAGAGGACTGAATCTTGACTAAGAAGTGAATAATTAGCACATGTACCTGACAGACACACTATCTCTAAACACTTGTATCTTATCTCCCTGGGCTGGTTTTAGTTTTATTTTTTTAAAGTGACACTCCAACCAAAGCCATATTCAAATAGGAATCTTTATAGATCAGTAACTAAGAAACAAGTTACTTTAAAAATTCCTAAACATTTGCCCAAAGCTGATTTTTCAAAATTTCAGGCAACTCTAAAAGCAGTTAATAACATCTTTACTTAACACTGAAATTAGAGCCCAGCCTGTGTGGTTCAATGGTTGAGCATTAACCTATGAACTAGGAGGTCACAGTGTGATTCCCAGTCAGGACATGTGCCCAGGTTGTGGGCTTGATCCCAGTCGAGGGCATGCAGGATGCAGCCGATCAATGATTCTCTCTCATTAATGTTTCTCTCCCTTCCTCTCTGAAATCAGTCAAAACATATTTTTAAAAAAAAAAACATACACTAAAATTAGCCCTAGCGGATTTGACTCAATGGATAGAGCATTGGCCTGCAGATGGAAAGATCCCAGGTTCGATTCCAGGCAAGGGCACGTACCTCAGTTGCAGGAGGCAACCAATCGATATGTTTCTCTCACATCGATATTTCTTTCCCTCTCTATTCCACTCTCTCTAAAAATCAATGGAAAAATATGCTCAGGTGAGGATTAAAACACACACACACACACACACACACACACACACAAAAAAAAAAAAAAAAACCACCTAAAATTAGATATTGACTTATTAATATACTATATTGAGCCACCGTTTTAAAAACCACAACTCACCATATTAGAATAGCAAGCAATCCGATTTATATGTAGTTTCTCAATGATTTCTTTAGGTATTAAAATTTCTTCAGACTTTGCATAATCAGCTATATTCAAAGCTTCCGTGTATTGGCTCATCGAGCCATTCCAATCACCTTCCCGATAAACATCATTTCCTTCATTAAAAAGATTTCTCACAAGAGCATGTAAATATACCTAAAAAAAGAAAGTTACCACTTGAAACCATTTAAGGAACAAGTTGGGTGTAAGTAAATTTTAATTTTTGTACCTACACCTTCAGAGGAAATAATTTGACAGAGCAAGAAGTACTGTTGTAAGAAATTACAAAATCCAGGCCACTATCTCATTGTGGGTTTCATCTTGCTTGCTTTTTCAAGAGAAAATTCAGTTCTTAATTATTAAGAAAAATGCAGCAAAAGCACCCTGTAAATATTTGTCCACGTTTCCAACTCTGTGCCTGGGGTACATTGCTACAGGTGGACACTCTAGGTCAAACAGAATGAGACGTTTAAGGCTTCTTACCAATATTTCTAAACTGTCTTCCAAAGGCGGTAACAACGGGTATTTTTAGTGGTTTCCTTTACAGCTTCCCACCAACACTGAGGAGCATGTAGGCACTTGTGTGCCTGCAACTAAAAATCTCTACCAATTTCTAGTGAAAGTGGTTCCTTTTTTATCTGTGTTTCTTTGATTACCAGTGAGGTTGAACTTTTCCACATTTCTGTGGACCATTTGTATTTCTGTTTTTATAACCTGTTTGCTCAGGCTACTTTTTCTTATTATGTAAGTATGTACGTCCTTTTGATATGCAGAAAAGTTTTTAAGATTCCTTTGTGTTTTCTGTCACAGCTTTAATATTTTAGAAGTCCTTTCTTATCATAAGATCAAATAAATATTCAAGTCTTCTGTCTCATTTTGTGAATTCAGGTCTAAGTAGTAAAGAAAGCAGGACAGATCAACCTTTGACAATCGAGGTAACTTCTGAAATGCCACTTAACCTCTTTTAGACCCCAGTTCCAATTTAAATGTAAGGATTGTAAACTGAATTATAAAGTAAATGGATTATTCCATTTATTTGCAACCATCATACTTCATGATTCTACATCTGTTTGGAGGAAGGAAAGAAAGAGGAAAGAAGTAACTAAAATAAAGGAGAGGAAGGGATAGGCAGAGACAAAGAAGTGACAATTAGAAGCACCATGTCCCTCAGAGACACAAAACCACAGGTGAACTAACAGTCTTTAGAGACAAGAATCTGCAGAACTATCTCGCATCACTGACATGCCTTACATTAATAGATTTATTAATTAATAGATTAATAGATTCACCCCTGGCTCTTCCTATTACTGAGTCACGCTTTATCACTGTTAGAACTCCTTTCTCCTAAACAAAAGCAGAAGATTCTCTGTTCTCTCCTTCTCAACATATTCTGTCCCACTTATTTTCGATGAAATGAGAAGTAGGCTAGAACTAATTTTCAAGGGGCTCAAAAGACATATTAATTTTTAAAAAGATATATTAATTCAATACTATACTAAGAGAGAGAAAATATATAGGACAACTGTCCAAGTATGTAAAAAAAAACAAATGTTGTCCTATATATGAGGGCCAGTACATCTTTTCTGTAAATGCTCAGATACTGACATTTTAGGCTTTATGGGCCATACATTCTCTGTCCCAAATGCCATATTTTGTGAAAGCAGCCACAGAAGATACACATGAACAAATTAGTGTGACTGTGTTCCAATAAAACTTTATTTACAAAAACAAACAACGGGCCAGATTTGGTCATCAAGGCCATAGTTTGCCAACCCTTGCTACATATTTACAGTTCACAGGCTACTGAAGAGTGTTTAAGCCGACCTTCCCAGAGTCATTACCGCATATTGTTCCTGTGTTCCTGGATATGACAGTGGTGACCTAAGAAGAAGAAACAAATTCATTTTAATTATCGGCTCTTATCAGGATTTGTTCATCCAGAAGGCATCTTAAACATGAAGATCTAGGAGCTTGCTGCTGGTTCAAAGCATATTTTAAAGATTTACTTCTCCTATTCACACCTAACTGTAGTCATGATTTAAGAAATCTAAAATTATTCCTTTGTCTCTTCTTGACTAAGTACATTTTCTTCTCAAATCTACTGCTATGGAAAGAAGGCCTAATGTTCCATATGCCAAAAACGTTTTAAAAATAGTACAGAACCATTAATACCAATAACCATTGGACCCAATTTACTGGCGTGTAAGGAGAAGACTGTCACTTCCTGGGAAGCACAGAGGGACCTCTTCCTGGACATATCCACTCAAGCCACACCTGTCCCCTCACCAGCATGCCTTACAAAGGTCAGTCAGAGACTGAGCTTCTCAACAGAAATGTTTGATCACAAAAGCTCTGTGTTGACAGGTGTTCACTTTCATTCATCAGAACTGTTCTCATGAGATTAGGTTCAAATTCCTCAGCCTAACATTCCCTGGAAAATTAAAGGATTTTGGCCCTAACAATCAGTGACAGTAAGATCCAGGTCAGCCCAGCCAGCATGGTTCAGTGGTTGAGTATCGACCTATAAATCAGGTCACAATTCCATTCTCGGTTGGGGCATATGCCTGGTTTGTGGGCTCAATCCCCAGTGTGGGGCATGCAGGAGGCAACCAATCAATAATTCTCTCTCATCATTGATCTTTCTGTCTCTCTCTCCCTCTCCTTTCCTCTCTGAAATAAAATTTTAAAATATTAAAAAAAAAAAAAAAAGATTCAGGTCAGAACACAAAGAAATCAAATGTAAAAGAGCAAAAATTACTGCTGGAACAAAATACCTAATTTCTCATCCAAATTAACGGAACTTGTGATATATAACTAAAGGTTTCTTAATCTCTGTGAAATGTATAGCCATATCAAAGTTAGTAGGGGATGAATTAAGCTCTTACTGTATAAATTGTAGTCCTTCCTTAATGCTCTGCTGCCTTTTTCTTCTCTCCTCGGACACACTGGACATGTTACCCCACACATTCACTTTCTAAGTGAACAATCTGGAAAGAAAGAATACACAGAATTGCATCAGGCAGCCCAACCTGGACCCCTTAAAACACCCATCGTTTAAGGTTATGTCACTGATTTGTTGTGGACGCATCCCTCTATACCGATGTGACTCTCAGTTCTCAAAGCCAAGAACCCCGTCTGCTTTCCTGTGCAGGGGCCCGTTGTCTAGCTCACATAGCAGAAGGTTCTTAGACTCCTTCAGGTTACACAGCCAGGCGGACTGGGAAGGCTCCTCCAAGCACTCTCCGTGAAAAAGCCATTTCTCTCCCCTCCCTTCTCTCCTCTCCTTCAGCCTCAGGATTTGTTTATTCCCTTCCTACACGCGCACGGACGCTGCCCGGAACAGTCCCGGCCTTGTTTTGTTCTGGAAGCTCTCCAGAAGTAAAAAGGTTTCACATCCGCTTGCCTCCGAGGGAGTCTGACTTCCTTACCAGCAGACTCTAAACCTTAACACTTACTTTGTTACACAAACTTCTGAAATAATCCTTGTTGATACAACTGATAAAAAAATAAATGGTCTAGCCCACCCAGTGTGCTCAATGGTTGAGCATCAACCTACAGGAGGTCATTGTTCAATTCCTGGTCACGGCACATGGGGAGGGTTGTGGGCTCGATCCCCAGTGTGGGGCGTGTAGAAGACTGCTGATAAATGTTTCTCTCATCATTGATGTTTCTATCTCTCTCACTCCCTTCCTCTCTGAAATTGATAAAAAAAAAAAAAAAAAAAAAAAAAATTTAAATTAATGATCTAAATGAATTTCCTTCCATTGGAATTTTCTGGAAAGTTAAGTGTTTACCTTCCAGGTAACTGACAAATGTCAATACGTGTCCTTGCTGGTAGTATCTAACCCACTAATCAGTGTTCATTAGGGAGCTCCCAGCAAATCAGAGGACCATAGGGAAGAGACCTGTGATAAAAGAGCATCTCCAAGTCCTAACTAGGGTTTCTCAAGCTCGGCACAGCAGCTGACGGATGTCAGCATCCCAGTCTCCAGCCACGAGATGCCAAGTAGCACTCCCTCCCCCATCTCTTGTGACAACCAAAAAGGTCTCCACATACTGTTAAAGGTCCCCAGCAGGGGATGATTGGACCGGGTGGGGCACATCACCCCAGGGTAAAAAGCCCTGAGATCTAAGCCTCAGGAGACATCTTATCACATAAGCCATGTATTTGGCCCCACGTGACAGATAGGAAAATGTCACTCACATTTCAAATAAATATGTGGCCCAGACCGGTTTGGCTCAATGGATAGAGTGTCAGCTTGGGGACTGAAGGGTCCCGGGTTCGATTCCTGTCAAGGGCATGTACCTTGGTTGCGGGTGGGGATGTGCAAGAGGCAGCTGATCGATGACTCTCTCATCGATCCAACTCTCTATCTCTCTCCCTTCTTCTCTGTACAAAATCAATAAAATATATTTAAATATGTGGCTGAAATGTTTGTTTCATTACTGCTTACCACTGTGGTCTGGTCTTTAAATTTACCTTTTTCTAAGTGTAGGGGTGAGGATGAAGGTTGGAATGCCCCAAAGGCTGACAGCTGGTACTAATTCTTTTTGTCTTTTAAATACTGTCAGCTCTAAGTACTTCAATCTCATACTTAAAGGTTGGTACTTCACTGAAGTGTTTACATGGAAAGGATATAATATCTGGAATTTGCTTTAAAATACTCCAGCAAACAAAAAAGGGAGTTGGGAGCGGATATGAAACAGCAGAACACTGATAACTGGTGAAAGCACAAGGCTTTTTCCTAGGACTTACTCTACCTTGTAAGTTTGAACTCTTACAAAATAAAAAGGATAAAAGCCTCTTACACTGAACTAAAATGGCATTATTTCTGGAATTTGTTTTTTAACATTTTTATTGATTTCAGAGAGGGAGAGGGGGAAAAGGGATAGAAATATCAATAAGAGGGAATCATGATCGGCTGCCTCCTACATATAGCCCACAACCCAGGCATGTGCCCTAGACCGGAATCAATCCCAGGATCCTTTGGTCCACAGGCCAATGCTCTATCACAGAGCCACACCAGCTAGGGCTTGGAATTTATTTTTAAGATGGTCTAGCCCAGTGGTCAGCAAACTCATTAGTCAACAGAGCCAAATATCAACAGTACAACAACTGACATTTCTTTTGAGAGCCAAACTTTTTAAACTTAAACTTCTTCTAACGACATTTCTTCAAAATAGACTCGCCCAGGCCGTGGTATTTTGTGGAAGAGCCACACTCAAGGGGCCAAAGAGCCACATGTGGTTCGAGAACCACAGTTTGCCGACCATTGGTCTAAAACAATGTTGCCGAAAATATGGGTAACTGCCCCTTTTAAACAGTGGGAGGAATGTGTGAGTTCATTCAGCCCCTCTACTGGTACAGGTCTGACCGTTTTCATGATAAAAAATGTAATTCATACTTGTATGTACAAAGTTATTTAAGGAGAGACTATTTGTAAGAGAATAAGAGAGCAGATTAACTGTCTTATCAGAAAGGAAATAACTAAATGAAGCTGGGGGAAAAGAGACAAGGAGCAACTACCCACAATATGACCCCAGTTTTTTGTTTGTTAAAAAAAAAAAAAAAAAAAAAAACTTCAGATGGAATCCGAGAAAATTACAGCAGCAGCAGCTGAATGGGTAGGACAGTCTTTTCACTGAATACCTTTAAAACTTTTCTTTTGAATCCTGTAAATGAATTATAAGTATTCTTAAAAGTCTATGTTGCCTCTAAGCCCTTCCTTGGAAAGATGGCCCTTCCAGGCCCACTAAAGTGGCTTTTATTTTATTTTGTTTTATTTTAAGCAGGGCCACCTCAAAGCAGCACTTTAGAGCTCAGAGGCCGCCAGAGCAGCCTTGAGTCTATGGCAGTCAGGCCCAAAGGCTGGGACAAAAGCAGACACCAGTTCTCAGAAGCATTGTCCCTCTCTTCAGTGAATGGCAAAACTCTCCCCACCTCTGTCCAGCTTGGTGAAAAATGAGTTTTGTTTCGCTGAGAAAGTCAATCTGTTCCCCCTATTGTTCAAAAGGGGCAGTTACCCATAAGAAGGGAGTGATAATCCACCCAACTAATAGCCGTGGGGCCATTTCCCCAGCCAGTGCTGGGAAACCTTGAACCTGTACCTCTTAGGGACAAAGGGCAGGTGGCAAAGAGCTGACAACTCAGATAAGTGAGTAAGAGGAAATAAGATGCAGACTCACATGAAGTATACGCTTCCTTTACATGTTAAAGATCTGGAAGCATAGTATCAAGTGATATTTAGACATATGACAGAACATGAAATGTTCTATAATTTTCCCAAAAAAAATATTATGAAAATTTTTACACACACAAATTTTATATTTCTTTCCACAAGGCACACCATATACCAACACCGTACCTATATTCTACAATTAATATTTTGCTATATTGATCACATCTGCCTGTCTTTACCCATTTGGCCATCCTTCTGGCCTTCCATCAGCCTGCATTATATGGTGAGTTGCACAGTGAGTTACATTTAATTCATCAATTATAATTCACCTCTAACCTCTTCAACATATTTATCCTTACCTAGAATTCAACATTTGTTAGGTTCCTTAATGCAAATGCACACATTTGAAGGCAAGTTTTGACAAATGATAAGGTCATGTAGCCCAGACCCCAATCGTGATATATACAGTCATGGTCACTCCTCATGCCCCTTCCCCAGCTGGCCACCCCCATCCACTGTTCTGGGTTTGTTTGTTTGTTTTCACTGTAAATTAGTTTTACCTATAAAATAAGCCTCTTCCACCTCCCATTTTGAAAGAAAAATATCTATGCATTATACACCATCTAACTTTTGGATCCAGTTAAAATCTTGCCTCAATTTTAATGATAGAAAGAATTTAAGAATTTAATAAAGTTAACCCAACAGTTTTTTAAACAGACTTTATTTTTTTAAATATATTTGTATTGATTTCAGAGAGGAAAGGAGGAGAGAAAAATGGAAACATCAAAGATGAAAGAGAATCATTGATTCGCTGCCTCCTGCATGTCCCTCCTTCCTTTCCCCCCTCCACCCCCCACCACGGGGATCCAGCCTGCAACCTGGGCATGTGTCCAGACCAGAATCAAACCATAGATCAATGCTCAACCACTGAGACACACCGTCAGGAGTAGTTTCCCCCCCCCCTTTTTTTTTCTTATTCAAACTCAAGTCGTTGTATGTCACAGGTGTCCACTTCCTTCTTGGACCTGGGATTCCATCTCCTGCTGACTTCTAACTGTGAGAGCCCTGGGCTTCATCAGACCATCTCCCACCCAACCACTCTCCCTCAGGGCCTCCCACACTGCCCAGCTGTCAAAAACCCTCATCTGGGGCCCCTACACTCCCCAGGCCATCCCCAGGCAGATCTTGATACTCTCCATGGATGTGTTAGTTCTAACCTGGATGACTCATAGACATAATAAACTGTTTTAAAAGTAGTATCTTATTATGACAATGAAAAGAAATATATCCACCCAACCCCATCACTCAACCACCTTTTTGTCCTTCCTGAGAGCAATCAACCACTGTTACCAGTTTTTCTGTGTATAGACATAGATCACAGAACACACACACACACACACACACACACACATATGCATGTAAAAACTGGTGAAAACAGAGTAAGGTGTACTTGGTTACAGTATTACACCAATGACAATTTCCTGGCTTTGATGTCACTATAGTTATATAAGATGGCACCAATGGAAATCTACATACTTTTGCAATTTCCTGAGAGTCTACATTTCAAAATAAGTTAAAAGTAGCCCATGCATGTTATTTTTACTACAGCAACGGTAGGGTCCCTAGGCCTGGACAGTGATCACAGCTGATCTCTGGGGTGACCGGCGGGGAGATGGGGAAGGGGGTCCTGCTGGCACCCACCTAGGCTGGCCTGGGGCCTGTGGGCTGGGGGCAGCTCCTGTGTTAAGCGTCTGACCCCTGGTGGTCAGTGCAT